ATGTTGAGCACTTTTTCATGTGTCTATTGGCCATCTGGATATCTTCTTTGCAGAAATGTCTGTTCATGTCCTCTGCCCATTTCTTTTTTTTTTTTTAAGATTTTATTTATTTATTTGACAGATAGAGATCTCAAGTAGGCAGAGAGGCAGGCAGAGAGAGAGAGAGCAAGCATGCTACCCGCTGAGCGGAGAGCCTGATGTGGGGCTCAATCCCAGGTCCCTGAGATCATGACCTGAGCTGAAGGCAGAGGTTTAACCCACTGAGCCATCCAGGCGCCCTCTGCCCATTTCTTGATTGGATTATTTGTTCTTTGGGTGTTGAGTTTGATAAGTTCTTTATAGATTTGGGTACTAGCCCTTTATCTGATATGTCATTTGCAAATATCTTCTTCCATTCTCTTGGTTGTCTTTTGATTTTGTTGACTGTTTTCTTTGCTGTGCAAAAGCTTTTGATCATGATGAACTCCCAATAGTTCATTTTTGCTCTTGCTTCCTTTGCCTTTGGCGATGTTCCTAGGAAGAAGTTACTGCGGCTGAGGTCGAAGAGGTTGCTGCCTGTGTTCTCAAGGATTTTAATGGATTCCTGTCTCACATTGAGATCTTTCATCCATTTTGAGTCTATTTTTGTGTGTGGTGTAAGGAAATGGTCCGGTTTCATTTTTCTGCATGTGGCTGTCCAATTTTCCCAACACCATTTGTTGAAGAGACTATCTTTTTTCCATTGGACATTCTTTTCTACTTTGTCGAAGATTAGTTGACCATAGAGTTGAGGGTCCATTTCTGGGCCCTCTATTCTATTCCATTGATCTATGTGTCTGTTTTTGTGATAGTACCATACTGTCTTGATGATTACAACTTTGTAATAGAGCTTGAAGTCCAGAATTGTGATGCTGTCAACTTTGGTTTTCTTTTTCAACATTCCTCTGGCTATTGGGGGTCTTTCCTGGTTCCATGCAAATTTTAGGATTCTTTGTTCCATTTCTTTGAAAAAAGTTGATGGTATTTTGATAGGGATTGCATTAAACGTGTAGATTGCTTTAGGTAGCATAGACATTTTCACAATATTTGTTCTTCCAATCTATGAACATGGAATGTTTTTCCATTTCTTTGTGTTTACCTCAGTTTCTTTCATGTGTATTCTATGGCTTTTTGAGTACAGATCCTTTGCCTCTTTGGTTAGATTTATTCCCAGGTATCTTATGATTTTGGGTGCAACTCTAGGGGATCGACTCCTTAATTTCTCTTTCTTTTGTCTTGTTTTATAGAAAGGCAACAGATGTCTGTGCATTGATTTTATATCCTGACACTTTACTGAATTCCTGTATGAGTTCTAGCAGGTTTGGGGTGGAGTCTTTCTGGTTTCCTGCATAAAGTATCATATCATCTGCAAAGAGTGAGTTTGGACATCTTCTTTGCCAATTTGGAAGCCTTTTATTTCTTTTAGTTGTCTGATTGCTGAGGCTAGGACTTCTGGTACTAGAATATATAACCACTGAATAAGAGTAGTTATAGTGGACATCCCTGCCATCTTCCTGACCTTAGGGGAAAAGCTCTCAGTTTTTCCTCATTGAGAATGATATTTGCTCTGGGTTTTTCATAGATGGCTTTGATGATATTGAGGTATGTACCCCTCTAACCCTACACCTTGAAGAGTTTTGATCAAGAAAGGAAGCTGTACTCTGTCAAATGCCTTTTCGGCATCTATTGAGAGTATCATATGTCTCCTGTTCTTTATTTTATTAATGTGTTGTATCACATTGGTTGATTTGCATATGTTGAGCCAAACTTGCAGCCCAGGAATAAATCCCACTTAGTTGCGGTGAATAATCCTTTTTTTTTTTTTTAAGATTTTATTTATTTATTTGACAGAGAAAGATCACAAGTAGGCAGAGAGGCAGGCAGAGAGAGAGAGAGAGGGAGAGAAGCAGGCTCCCCGTTGAGCAAAGAGCCTGATGCGGGGCTCGATCCTAGGACCCTGAGATCATGATCTGAGCCAAAGGCAGCAGCTTAACCCACTGAGCCACCCAGGTGCCCCAAATAATCCTTTTAATATACTGTTGGATCCTACTGGCTAGTATTTTGGTGATATTTTTTGCATTCATGTTCATCAGGGATATTGGTCTATAATTCTTTTTGATGGGGTCTTTTCTGGTTTTGGGATCAAAATAATGATGGCCTCATAAAATGAGTTTGGAAATTTTCCTTCCATTTTTTTTTTGGGTCAGTTTCAAGAGACTACTTTATACATTCATATATTTCTACCAAAATACTACCTAAATAAGACACAACTGTTCACTCATTCTCTAATACCAGGAAACAGAGTTACTTGGACTACTCCTTTCCCATTATTTCCCATATCTCATTTCAAGGTCCCTTGACTTTAACTTTTAACAATTCAATATATCTTGTATCCATGCTTTCCAAATAGATCCTTTTGTTTTTTTTTTAATATAATTTTTATTTTTTATTAATATATAATGTATTATTAGCCCCAGGGGTACAGGTCTGTGAATCACCAGGTTTACACACTTCACAGCACTCACCATAGCACACACCTTCCCCAATGTCCATAGCCCAACCACCCTAACCCTCCCCCCCTCCCCACAGCAACCCTCAGTTTGTTTTGTGAGATTGAGAGTCTCTTATGGTTTGTCTCCCTCCTGATCCCCTCTTGTTTCATTTTTTTCCTTTCCTACCCTCCAAATCCCCAGTGTTGCCTCTCAACTTCCTCATATCAGGGAGATCATATAATAATTGTCTTTCTCTGATTGACTTATTTTGCTCAGCATAATACCCTCTAGTTCCATCCACATCATCGCAAATGGCAAGATTTCATTTCTTTTGATGGCTGCATAGTATTCCATTGTATATATATACCACATCTTCTTTATCCATTCACCTGTTGATGGACATCTAGGTTCTTTCCATAGTTTGGCTATTGTGGACATTGCTGTTATAAACATTCGGGTGCACGTGCCCCTTTGGATCACTACATCTGTATCTTCAGGATAAATACCCAGTAGTGCGATTGCTGGGTTGTGGGGTAGCTCTATTTTCAAATTTTTGAGGAACCTCCATGCTGTTTTCCAGAGAGGTTGCGCCAGCTTGCATTCCCACCAACAGTATAGGAGGGTTCCCTTTTCTCTGCATCCGCACCAGCATCTATCACTTCCTGACTTGTTAATTTTAGCCATTCTGACTGGTGTGAGGTGATTTCTCATTGTGGTTTTGATTGTATTTCCCTGATGCTGAGCGATGTTGAGCACTTTTTCATGTGTCTGTTGGCCATCTGGATATCTTCTTTGCAGAAATGTCTGTTCATGTCCTCTGCCCATTTCTTGATTGGATTATTTGTTCTTTGGGTGTTGAGTTTGTTAAGTTCTTTATTGATTTTGGATACTAGCCTTTTATCTGATATGTCATTTGCAAATATCTTCTCCCATTCTGTCAGTTGTCTTTTGGTTTTGTTGACTGTTTCCTTTGCTGTGCAAAAGCTTTTGATCCTGATGAAGTCCCAATAGTTCATTTTTGCCCTTGCTTCCTTTGCCTTTGGCAATGTTCCTAGGAAGAAGTTGCTGCCCATGTTTTCCTCAAGGATTTTGATGGATTCCTTTCTCACATTTTGAGAGATCTCACATTTTCTCATCATCATTTTGAGTCTATTTTCATGTGTGGTGTAAGGAAATTGTCCAGTTTCATTTTTCTGCATGTGGCTGTCCAATTTTCCCAACACCATTTGTTGAAGAGACTGTCTTTTTTCCATTGGACATTCTATCCTGCTTTGTCAAAGATTAATTGACCATAGAGTTGAGGGTCTATTTCTGGGCTTTCTATTGTGTTCCATTGATCTATGTGTCTGTTTTTGTGCCAGTACCATACTGTCTTGATGATGACAGCTTTGTAATAGAGCTTGAAGTCTGGAATTGTGATGCCACCAACTTTGGCTTTCTTTTTCAATATTCCTCTGGCTATTTGAGGTCTTTTCTGGTTCCATATAAATTTTAGGATTCTTTGTTCCATTTCTTTGAAAAAAAAATGGATGGTATTTTGATAGTGATTGCATTAAACGTGTAGATTGCTTTAGGTAGCATAGACATTTTCACAATATTTGTTCTCCCAATCCATGAGCATGGAACATTTTTCCATTTCTTTGTGTCTTCCTCAATTTCTTTCATCAATCATTCTTTCAGCAATCAGACAACAAAAAGAAATTAAAGGCATCCAAATCGGCAAGGAAGAAGTCAAACTATCACTCTTTGCAGATGATATGATACTTTATGTGGAAAACCCAAAAGACTCCACTCCAAATCTGCTAGAACTTGTACAGGAATTCAGTAAAGTGTCAGGATATAAAATCAATGCACAGAAATCAGTTGCATTTCTATACACCAACAACAAGACAGAAGAAAAGAAAAATTAAGGAGTCAATCCCCTTTACAATTGCATCCAAAACCATAAGATACCTAGGAATAAACCTAACCAAAGAGGCAAAGACTTTGTACTCAGAAAACTATAAAGTACTCATGAAAGAAATTGCTGTAGTTTGATCACAACTTTTAGAACCTAGAAGGAATGTTGCTTACATTCCAGAAAAGAAAGATTTACAGTTGTGTCATGGTTACCAAAGTTAAGTTTATCCCATTTTAGCTAGTAAGACTTGATAGCAGGTGAAATTGAATGATACAAAAAAGCTAAAGCAAATTTAAAAGCAGAGGAATGAAAGGTAGGTTAATTATCAGCATAAAGTATTAATATAAATTTATTATAACAATTACAGTGTTTCCACATATTACAAAAAGCAGGACTCGGACCAAAGTGCCTTGTTTAACTAAGTCAAACTCATTTAGCTTAAAAAACACTTTACTATTGTTAAGGATGACTGTTAAGGAATTGCCATAAATATAATATCATTTTATCATAAAAATATATTTATAAATATATGTATACATAAATGATAATAAATATATAAGCTTTGCTTTCTTAAGGCTCAGTAGTTTCATTCAAGAAGTATTTCATTAAACTGATCTCATTGATTAGCATAAAATACTGTTGAGGCAAGAAGGATGTAAGTATCATCCCCTCCGTTTTAAAGATGATCAAACTGAGGTCCCAGAAACTTACAGTATTTGATTAAGGGTCCATTAGCAACTTAAAGGCAAACAGTTGGAATGAGATCCTAGGCATATGGCTTCTCATTCCAATTGCTGTTGTGGGTATTTAGTTTTCTAATGCCTCAGTTACTTAACCAATCTGTAGTATGGGTAGAATCTTTTTGGTAGCCATAGTCAGTAGCCCTGGTCCTCCCAAGATTGTTATGAAGAATAATAATTAAACTGATTGGTAGTTTGCAAAGTATAGGGTGTTCTTAAATAACAAATAACATTATATATTAGTGTTGTTTGCATTAGACCTTGCTCACTCTCTTACAAAGAGAGTAAATATTCATTTGGAATTACAAAGGCTCAGCACATGCTCAGCAAGTGATTAAGAGTAAAGGATTTGACTCCTCCATGTACATAGTACATATGGACTGTCAACACTTCACAAGTAAGTAGACCCCAGAGTCAAGTTTGGGTTTCCAGTATCTGAAAGTCAGTGATAGAGGGTTGCCCTCTTGCCATGTGCACCAGTTTTCGTTCCTGTGTGGCAATGAACAACTTTGGCTGGGCGACTGATGTGAAGTAGTTCTTCGTGCCATGACGTTCCCAGAAGAAGAGAAGGTTGGTCTCATCTTTGATGGTTTTGGGTGTCTCAGGCATCTCCTATGGTAAGGAGAACAGAGATATGTTAGAGAACAAGATTCCAGACAAAAAACTGAAGTGCACTCCCTGGACATTTGGCCTTTGTGAGAAATACTGCACTTTAGGACACTGACTCTGTAATATGATGATATAGATTCTTCTTTCATTTATTCATGCAGCAAGCATTTATTACATGCCTATTACAGGTATGGCCCAGTCTACACATAATAGTTAATTTCCTTACTTAACTGGAAAGAAATCCAAATTAGTCATGGATTGCCAATGACAGTAGTGTCTCACTAGATCATGGCAGGTAGAGTAAAAACATTGTTCTTGTCCTGCCTTCATAAGCAGAAAGCACTTTGCATAAAACATGAACATTAGCAATTGAGACCTCTAAACATTTGACAACTAAGTGTGCAGTTCATATCTTAGGGAAAATAATTTATCATTAGAGATGTTTTTCTCCGTATTTAAGCCAATGATTAAAAGTTTACCCTCCCCGCCACTTCCAAGTATATTAGGAGCTGACTCCTTACATACAGTTTTTGACAATTGTATCTTTTTAGGCTGTACTATACTTTTGAGTATGAATAGAATAACAATACTTTCATGGAAACGTGAAATTCACCTTTCAACTTGAGATGCTTCTTTTGTGTTCTTTTTAATCTGACTCAACTAATTATCTTTTTGAGCTTTCCTTGTCAACAAGGGTTTTCAATGGCAACAAGGAATTTCTTTCCCAAACCCCTTCCTCTCCTAGTTTTTTCCAATCTCAGTAAATGTATTTTCTCCGCCCCCCCCCCGTTGGTTCTATCTCTGAAATCTAACCAGTTCTGTCTACTTATTTCTATCTGCCTCACTACTCCCACTCCCATGACTATTATCATTACCACCTAGTTAGTAGGCTCTTTGCTTTCTCCATTGTCTTCCTGCTGATCTAGTCTCCATTTTAGAAAATATAAGTGAAGTTAGGACATTTCCCTATTTGAAACCCTTTAATGCCTTTTTATTGTACCTCAGATGAAACCCAAATGCAAGGCTCTGCAAGCACTAGCCTCTGCTTGTCTTTCCTCCTTCTTTTGTGCCCCAGTTTTAGAGTGTTCCTGTTGATTTCTGAAACTGGCATTTAAACTCTTGAAGCTCTAGGTCCTAGATGCACTCAGATCCCTCTCTTTGGAATGCTTACCCTCACCTGCCCTCTTGCATCATGCTCCTTCCTACCAGCAGATCCCATCTCACAGGGAACTCTATGTAAAAAGCACTCTCCATTTTTTTTTTTTTTGCACTCTCCATTTTTTTATGTATCTCACCACTGTATTTATTTGCTTTACAGCATCTTGTACTTTTTGCTGGTGTTTGGCTTATCTACTGTCTGTGTCCCCAAGAAGACCAAGTTCTATGAGGCTGGGGACTTTGGCTCACCATGGTCTACATAGCTGTTGGCACTATGTTTGAATAATCGAAGGCTCTCAATAAATAATGCCTGTTGAATGAATTCATGAATGAAGCTACTGCCCTAATCTGAAGACATCACTTTTACTTCACTTGATCCAGGTAGAGAAAAATCATGCACCTACAAAAATCCTGGTTGGAGTTGGGGGTCTGCATTATACATTTACTAAATAAGAGTCACCTATTTACCAGTAACTTAGGAGTAAACATCTAAGGCTATAGTGGGCATGTGTGTGTCTATGTTTGAGTGGGAAGGTGGTGGTGGAGATGGGTCTGGGAGGAGGGGTAATGCTGACACCGGTGAAGAGAGAGAGGCAATGGAGTCAAAAGGCCAGGGTTTGAGTCTTGGCTCCTTGTTTTTTGTTTTGTGTCCATTGGCAGGTGATTAACCCTCTCTGCTCCTAGTTGGCTTGAGTATCTTGGAATCAGGTCCTATTGTCCTAATACCTACCATCATATAGATCAGATGGTAATTGTTAGTAAGGTTCAAGACGGGTGGAATAAATGGATGCCCTGGGATGGGAAGTGACTAGGGTCAGGCAGGGTAAGGAAAAAGAAGGAAAAGGGAATTTACCTTTTATTTACTCTGGCCACCTCCATTTTACTTTCTCATAGATCCTGCCTAGAAGTGCCTGTGGGGATAGGTGAGAAGTAGCATGTGGGATGGGTGGGCAGGTGGAAACTGTGATAGGAAGAGAAGAGGATTGTGCTACTCTGCTAGGGGTATCTGCCTATTGGGATCATTCACAAAGATATGGGATATAAATGAAGGTAAATTGGGGACTGAGAATGACTGACCTTTAGCAATACAGGTTCACCTTCATTTTGGGCACTCACAAACAGCCGAGTTTTTGAGATTCTTAGAGTCACAGGAAGTTTAGAATCTTCTGAAGTGTAAGCCCCCATGTCAAATTTCACTGTCAAAGAGAAAAGCAAAAAAGAAAGTAAATCCATTGTATATGAATGATGTCAAGTGTTACATAAATTGTGTGTGCGTGTCTGTGTGTATCTGTATTTAAGTCTCCAACTATGGTGTAAATACCAGAATGGAATTCCAAACATCTTTGTATCCTTCATAATGTCTGCCATATTTACCAGGCAGGTAAATACTTGGTTAGTGTCTCAGGAATTTTCTATGTTGAATAAATCCTTGGGGGCTATTTGTTGACTCTCTTGTAATTACATTAGTAGGATAAGATCCCTCAACTTTTGAGCTCATGAGTTCATAATAACCTAAAATGGAGGGGTTTAGGGAAGCTGATACACTCCTGAAAAGTAGTTGTTTTCCTTAGAGAACAAAGCTTAATAAGAGCTGTATAATTATTTATCCCTAGGAATCCAGGAGTTCCATTTTTGGGGTATGATCCAAAGAAATAACCTCATAGGGAAAAAATTATATACACAACAATATTTGCAATGGAGTTACTTAGACCAAACCCAAGAGACCAGCATAGTAACATGATTGAATATTCTAGTGTCATTAAACATGGCAAATATATATGCTATTTCAATATGTGGGGGAAATTATGTGAAATAATATTAAGTAGGAAAATACAACACAAAATAATTTGTAAATGTCATAGAGTGGAAAGCATGTTATCTGAAGTATGTCCAACCAGAAAGCCCTGTTTGTTTATTAAAAAGTAGCCTCTTTGGAGTTCTGAAACCAATTTTGTATACTGAGGACATGTCCTGAAGCTAAAATATGTACACCATGGAAATTGGATTTGTGTGGCGAAATTTCTTGGACTCTAAATTTCATCCTCCAGAACATATTCTCAGCTTATTGCATGTTTTGCTTCACAACTATGTTCTCAAAGATGATGATTCTTTCTAGTTTGGTGTTATTTGTGAGTTTGAGCAACAGGCTTTCTAATGGAGAGTGATTGCTCCTTATCGGCTTCTGGGCAAATCTGGGTAAGTCATTTAATATTTCTGAGAGTCTTTTTCCTCATCTTTAAAACCAAGGATAAGAACAGCTGAGAGAACTGAAGGAGATACTTCCTCAGAAAGCTTTATACTCAGTGCTCTCAAAGACTGGAAACTTCTCTCTTGTGGAGCTTCCTGATTTGGCTGAAGCTCCTGTCCTTGCCCAGCATTTTACTGGGGGTTGTTGTGCTTCATCCTATTCTAGAAGAATTGTACAAAGCTAGGAATCTAGAGAGGTTTATATTTGGAAAGCAGAAAGTTTGAAAGAAATGCGAAACTAAGAGGAGGGGAGGATGGCCGCTCTCCACTTACCTGCATCATCCAGATTCTGTAATGCGGCAGCCATGAGGTAGTTTCCCCCTGTTTGTTGAATTATACTTTGATTGAGGTTGTCATTCAGAATGAATTGCGATTTGATGATCCTCTTGTAGTTGTATTTTTCATTGCTACGGAAGTTGTATGCTGCTGATCTGGGCTTCATGATTTCTAAAGCCATTACACAAGCTCAGATTAATGTCTTTGTATAAACACAAATGATGTATCTGCTCTAATACAAGCATCAGAAGTAGCTATGGAAGGGACATTAGGAATATTTTAATTCAGGTGAAGAAACCAAGAGAGAGGAGAAGTCACCCCGTCAGCAGAAGTGGTTTCTATGATTATCCTCATGGTTACTCACTTCTTTTTAAACTTTAGTTCCTCAGGGAGTAATTTTTTAAAAACAGATTATTTATTAAATATTCTCATTTTGGTTGTTTGGAGGTTTCTAAGGAAATAGGGAGACTGCTAACATTCACTATCTACATTTTTCAAATGAATACACTGAGAAAAAAATGAATTATATGTCCTTGAGGATACCAGTCTAAATGTCTACTCCCCTTTCTGGACAGTGGTGTATAACAACAGCTTCATAAATCCTCATGGTTCTGAGTAGTTTTATGTCTAGGAATCTATTCTAAGGAACTGGTGATAAAAATGAAGATATGGGGGCGTCTGGGTGGCTCAGTGGGTTAAAGCCTCTGCCTTCGGCTTAGGTCATGATCCCAGGGTCCTGGGATTGAGCCCCGCATTGGGCTGTCTGCTCAGCAGGGAGCCTGCTTCCTCCTCTCTCTCTGCCTGCCTCTCTGCCTACTTGTGATCTCTGTCTGTCAAATAAATAAATAAAATCTTTAAAAAAAATGAAGATATGATATGGATGTTATTGGTATGGATGTTCATTATCTATTACTTATAATTTGAAAACCTGGTACCCAAGAATGCCCTTGATATATTGCTAAGTGAAAGAAGCTGAATATAAAATTGCATATAATCCTATTAATGCTTGTTTGTGTGTAGGTACATGAAAAAGACTTTAATTTGCTGATGGACCCTTAATCAAATACTTCAGTATTTTCTCTAGTCTTGGCAGTGGCAAAACTCTTAGTGTTTTTATTCTCTTTTTTACATTTTCTTGTATCTTCCTATTTTCTAGGTGAATGTGTATTAGTATTTACCTGTTACCTTAAAAAGCTCTTATTTAAAAAATGTTTGGTTTATGTTTCATATAGAGGCTTATACAGTAGAGGCATGGGAAAATAAACCTGACTGTTAAAATCAGAACTAAATTTGGTGTAAAGCTCTCCTGCTTACATACTATGTGACTTACGTAACTGAGCTTAGTTTCCTCCTATGTAAAATGAGAATGTAAGATTGTTGTGAAATGTAGAGATAATGCAGCCATTAATAAAGTAGCAATGTTGGTAGTATTAACAAAGGTAGTAGTAGTAGTAAGGAGGAGGAGGAGTAATGACAATACCTAACGTTTATTGGGTATTTAGATACTAAGCATTATTCTAGTCCAGGAGCTTACAAGTATTGACGCATTCAATCTTCACAACAAGTAGGGACTCTGATTATCTCCATTTTACAGTAGAGGAGACTAAAGCACAAGAAGGTTAAATAGCTTACCCAAAGGGGCGTAGTTGTATCTGGAGGAATATAGCTTTTAAGTGGTCACCCACTAACAGTTTATAACTGCTTTCTGCTAAGGATAAAGGTCACATGACCTTTACAATATGGCCACAATATGAGCCCATGAGGAAGTATCTGTAGACTCAGGTCACTGGTCCTCTCTCCCCACTGGAGAAAGATAAACATTAATTTTCCTTCCTTATAGTCACCAAACCGATGCCTGGCTGCCCTCTTGTTACTCAGATCTCGGTTTTATTTTCTCCTGTGTTCTGTTGTCTCCATTTGCTTAACAATGGAAAACAAAGATATTATTTGCACTTGACCTCTTACCTTCTTCTGTATCATTGGTAATAACTTCCAGGTCATCATCAGTGATGAATTGATTTAAACTCAACCGTCTCTTCTTCAGAATCTTCCCGTTGGCTGCCACCATCACCACATCCTCCTTGAAGGTAAGCTGAGATGTCTTTGAGGTTTCAGAGGTTCTTAGAGACATGCAGTCCTCATGAAGTGGGTCATAGTTCACATCATAGAAGGATTTCTATGAGGAAGGAAAATGGAAACTGAGGGGCTACATACGGTTGTTGAATGAGATCCCTTTCAGTAGAAGTTTTATCCAATAGATTTAGTGAGAAGGCTCTCTATTTTATCAATCTTCTCCACCCCATTCCCTCTCTTCTTCCCCCACCCCCAACCCTCTGTCTTTCCCTCCATTTCCCTCCCACCTTTCCCTTAGAAAATCTGTTGAGCATGGAGAATGTCATCAACTATTAGTGTAGAGAGGCAGTTGGTCTCACTTATGATGAAGAAATGTATGTATCTGAACCTCTAGTGAGGGCGAAACAAAATCTTCTAGGATTCAAGCTATTGCTGTTTTCTCCTGTTAGAGAAAATACTGCATAAGAATAGCAATCCTATATGTGGAATTTAAGAAACAAGGCAGAGGATCATAGGGGAAGAGAGGAAAAAATGAAACAAGATAAAACCAGAGAGGGAGACAAACCATAAGATACTCTTAATCTTAGGAAACAAACTGAGGGTTGCTGGAGGGGAGGGGGGTGAGGGGATGGGGTGGCTCGGTGATGGACACTGGGGAAGGTATGTGTTGTAAGGAGCACTGGGTATTATATAAGACTGATGAATCACAGAAATGTACCCCTGAAACAAATAATACATTATATATTAATAATAAAAAGAACAACAATCCTGTAAGAATTACAGTCATTTGCTTACCTGACTCAGAGAGAGATGGTCAATTTCAGAACTGTATTCTTCATTTTCACTGTTAAACAAGACAATGAGAATGTAATTCTGTTTGTTATATCTCTGCTGTCACTGGGCAACGTATTTTAATGACCACATTAGCTTTGGGTAACACACACATAGTCATTACTGTCCTCTTTGAAAATTAAGGACTTCTATATATACATACATATATGCAGTAATTTGTGCCTCGTTAATTTGGAATTAGTAATCATCAGGACTGTTCTTGAACTTTACCTGTGCTTTAACTCTAAAAATGGAGCTTGGCTAACAAATTAAAGAGCTGGAGTTGAATTTCAGGGAAAAATGTTAACCTCCTCAAGAGAGAAATGCTCTTTGAAGCACCTCATTTTAATTTATTTTAATTAATTTAATTTAATTTTAACCAAATAAGTCATGTGTTATACATTGCTTTCATGTATTCACTAAAACAGATTTAATAATTTATACCTGGGAACTATCTAGCAACATTTTGATAATGTAGTTTGTATTAGTAATGGGAATACCGTGTTTGTTTAACATATCCTATAAATTTTAATTTTATTCATTTACCTTTCCCTCTTGTCTGAATGAGGTTTGACTGTGTATGTACATTCACAGGCTCAAATTGCTGTGGAGCCATTACCTCTTCCAGATTGAGCTCCAGACCAGAAGTTGGTTTCTCTCTCTGGCAGTCCATTAAAACCCATTACAGTATCAGGTCATGTGAACCTGACTGAGGCTGTGTCTAAGTAGATGTTGAAATTCACTAGAACTCAGGAGACTGTAAAAATAATTTCCCTAAAATGGCTGTCTCCCTGTCAGTGTCATCTCAGTGTAACATTCAAGATGCTTACTTTTTCCGGATCTTTGCTGAACCTGCCCTGACTTCAGAGGTAGGATGCATCTCTGTACCTCTACCAGTCTGGTTCCATGCTAGTTACTGTAACTGCTAGATAGATTCTAATATACCTTGATCCCCTCATTAAATTACAAGAGATAGAATTGATTTCCTACCTGTAACAGTTCTTCAGGTCCTTTTTGAAGATCTGAAGGTCTTCAAAAAGGTCAGGAACTTTGGCCATCTTGACTTCTGCAACAGAGAACACCAGTGGCTGTCAGCCTAGTCAGCTACCACCCAAACACCTGCAAGGGGAATCACCTCTGCTTTGTGCTTCTTGAGAAGCTTAATGAATGACTTAGCCTACACTCAGCATTTTCCCCATTCTTCTTTTCGCTCCCTTGAGTTATTTTCATATGTATCTGCTTCCTTTCTTAGACTATAAACTTCTTTTAGAACTTCTGTGTTCTTTTTGTGCCCCACCCAATGCATTGTATACAGTAGACATTCAATGAAAGCTTGGATAAATTAAAGAAAAAAGCCCACAAGAATAAGGTATTTGCCTTATATAGATGCAAGAAAGGGACAGATGTGGAAATTTCTAGTTTTCCCCTAATAGTTTTAGTAGTAGAGACTCCCTCCTAGGGAAGGCTCGGCTGCACCTACCAATGCCCTCATGTGAAACCAGTTCTGTCCCTCAGCTCCCCATCAATAGAAAGAATTATTTTCTGAAATCTGACTGTGATCTAACTCACACACCAAACCAGGAACAGATAAGAAAGGAAGGAAGAGGTTTGTGCTTCAGAGAAGGCAATTTGAGAGACAATGGCCAAGGAGAAAAGCAAAATATATTTTAAAAGTCAAAGATGTGATAAGGACAATACCTTTGCTGACTCAGGTGCCAATGAAATGACTCCCTCTCTGTCTGGAGACTTAGCCCTAGTCGGGTTACTTCGCCTTTTTGTCTTCTGGAGTAGGCGTGGCCTGTATGCGTCATGGGGGAATTTACAGGGAAGAATTGTATTTTTTTTTGTTACTTCACCCGGAAACTGACCAAATAATGACAGATTACATGCTTGATACTAGTGTTGTTTGCAGAGATTCCAGGAATTTCTAACTTGGCTCACTTATTTATGGCTTGCTCTAAACAATTATAATAATGTAGTCTTAGAAAAAGGGAAGAAGGGCAGGAAATGTTAACTTTTTTTTTTTTTAGAGATTTTTTTTTTAATTTTTAATTTTTTTTAAAGATTTTATTTATTTATTTGACAGAGAGAGATCACAAGTAGACAGAGAGGCAGGCAGAGAGAGAGAGAGAGAGGGAAGCAGGCTCCCTGCTGAGCAGAGAGCCCGATGCGGGACTCGATCCCAGGACCCTGAGATCATGACCTGAGCCGAAGGCAGCGGCTTAACCCACTGAGCCACCCAGGCGCCCTTTTTTAGAGATTTTATTTATTTATTTCACAGACTGAGATCACAAGTAGGCAGAGAGGCAGGCAGAGAGAGAAGGGGAAGCAGGCTCCTTGCTGATCAGAGAGCCCAATGCGGGGCTTGATACCAGGACCCTGGGATCATGACCTGAGCCAAAGGCAGAGGACTTTAATGCACCGAGCCACCCAGGTGCCCCAGAAATGTTAACTTTCTAAAAACATATGGTTGGGAGGAAGAAAGAACTCCTAAAATCAGAATTCTAGATGGCCAGAGTTGGAGAGGAGCTTAGGAACTGTATTTTGTGTTTTAGCTTAATTTGTTTTTTGCACCCCAGGGCTAACTATGAATTGATGGAATGCTTGGCAGCCCCTGGCAGATAAGGATTGGCTGTGAGGGAAAATGATCCATCTTTTCTGAAGAGGGACATTTGCAGAATAGGCATAAATCACTCTGAGTATGGGGAGACAGCCTCCTGTTAGGGCCCGGTAGGGGAGATAGAAGTGATAACCATTACTCTTCTGAATACTGTTGACCCATTTCCTACAGTACTCTCTGCCCTGGCCATATTATAGCAAAGTGGCCATTTGTCAGGGCACAAAGGGAAGTCTGGTCTTTTCTAGAATAAACCTAAGGTGTGTGAGGATAGCTGTAGACTCAGGGAAATATGGGCAAGGCCCTGGCAAAAAGCTGGTAGCTGCATTTGAGGATAGAGTTTGAGGGCAGGGGAGGGACTGTTATATACACACTACATCAGTATTGCCTGGTTGTTATTATCAAAGTCTTTTTTTGGTATCCTAAGGCTGGCCCAGTTCAGGTGGTAGAACATCAGACTCTTGACAGATAAATGTTGAAGGTCTCCTGTTTGGAGTTTAAGCAATGTAAATTTTTAAATTGAGAAAAAGATGGAAAAAGAGGGTAGAGGAGGGGAACAAGAAGGTAAAGAGAGAAAGGTAGGCACTGCAATGTAATATGGTATAAAAAGGCAAGACCACTCAGAACTGGGAGTGAAGTGGCTTGTGTGAGTTGGGTAAAGTATTTTCTCTAGTCTCGTTTAACAGTAAGTAATGGGGTTGGTGAAATGATCATTAAGGTCTATCCTAAGTACAAAATCTCTGATTCTGGTTCTATTGCTGGTCCAGATCCTCCTGGTCTCAGACCTGGTCACAATCGTCATAAACAAGAGCCACAGAAGTATTGTATCCTAGATATAGACAGTGTAAATTTAGGACAAGATTGGGGCAGATCTTGGATGTCTCAGGATGGATCCTGTTTGAATGGTGATGGTAGCCAATTCTCTATGTGGCTCTCTTTCAGGCAACACAGATATTAATCCTGGTTATTCTTTCCGCCTCCTGGTCATCTTGTGAGGCTATTAAATCCAAGAAACAATTGCAAAGCACACTGTGAATGTGGGCTGCTATGGAGATGCAACTGAGCAAAAATAAAAACAAAGCTAATAATGGCTTCTGTCTCTTGGGAACCTGTATAGTCATCCTTGTAACACCTTAATTCACGAAAGAAAATATAGTTCTTATGAAGATATGGGTTTGAAAACTTCAACAGGGAGGACATTTTCAGGTGAAGGCCTCCCTTGAAACCCTGAAGATATTTAGTTTCTGGGAGGAATGTAGAGCGTCTGTTTGGTAATCCAGGAAAAACATCCTTGGTTTTACCATTAGTGGTAACACCCATTCTGGCCTATGCTCCTCCTCTTTTGTAGAGAATTAGAATTCCCTGAATGTGGTTGTTGAATTTCTCAAGGACAGTTGGAATTTTTTAGATAGACAACTCAGGTTGAGGTTTCAGTTAACTTTTTCCTTCATCTGACCATTTTGGAAACTGGCTTTTAAGGGAAGAACAACATGGGTGAGGTTTAAAGAGTCAGAAGTCCTCCTTTTGTTTTGGGGAACCTACTTTTCTGTATGTGTGTACCAAGACTAACTTGTAAGTAAGCCCCATCATTGGACCAACTCCTCCTGGGGAATAGAGAGAGAAACGTGCTAGGTAGAGCTCTACTGGAGCCCAGGGGGTCTTTGGGGGCTGTCCTGTGACAGGAATTTTGGGCACTTCAAACACCCACCTCTTGACTCTGAGGAGACTTCAAAAACTTTAGTCCTTTTCCACCTAGATCATACAGAAAAAAAAAAATTATTGTGTACTTATTCTGTGCCAGAGTGCTTGTTAGACATAAGTGTTTTTCTCTCAGGATTTACAAAATTAGATATGCAAGATGAAATGATATACTTTAGTGGGTGAGTGGATACACCCTATAAGCCTGGTTGTCGCGGGTCCAAAGCATTGCTTTTCATTTGAAAACTGCTTTATACCTCACAAAGAGCTCTCCTTTGCTTTGTTTCACTGGCTCCGCACTTAACCCATGGAGGGGAGATAGTGATTACTATCTCTTTTCACAGTTGAGGGCCCTTGAAGACATTACGGTGGCCAACCTACAGTCACAAAACTGGCAGAGCCAGCCCTCTAACCTCAGGTTTCTCTTCCAAGTCCGATCTTCTCTTTTCACTGCATTTAGCTGCTCAAGTCTCTTACCTCCACTGAATGCCAAGTGACGGGCTGAAAGAGATCATTCTTGCAGGTCTTTTCAGCCTCGAACACCCTGTTGTTTATTGATTCAGTTTTTTTGTTTAAAAGAAAAGATGAAGAAAAAAATGGTTTGAAATATCCCCCTTTCCCCTCCCCTCCTCCTCCAGTGAAATCTCATTTTATTCTGTGACATAGAAGAAAAGGGTGAAGGTGGTCAACGTAGCTGAGTGCATGGTCAGTGATGGAGTCTGGATATGGACTTTTTTTTTTTTTTAAGATTTTATTTATTTATTTGACAGACAGAGATCACAAGTAGGCAGAGAGGCGGGGGTGGGTGGGGTGGTTGGGGAGGGAAGCAGGCTCCCTATTGAGCAGAGAGCTGAGCAGAGAGCCCAATGATGGGCTCGATCCTAGCACCCTGGGATCATGACCTGAGCTGAAGGCAGAGGCTTTAACCCACTGAGCCACTCAGGCACCCCTGGATATGGACTTAAAGCTGTGTTCTTGCTGTTGTACCATGAAGATGTTTACCATGTAAACATCTTTGGAAGCAACTTTAAAATCATTGCATGTAGTTGGATCTGACAGCATTGCTTGAATGAAAAAATACAGCTCTTCCCTGTGAATTTTTCAGGGGATGCAATTATTTGTTTTTAAGTTGTAGAAGGCCTCTTCAGAGGAATGAAGTATGCATAAACCATTGTTACATACAGAGACAATTGAGCCTTTTGTCTCAATTCATGCCCTATTTAATTATAACCTGGTTTTAAATTCTGTGACAGTGGGATGGGAAGGAGGAAATGACCTAACATAGTCTTCCAGGTGTTCTAATACATTATCTCATTTAATCTTTGCATTAAACCTGTGAGGTAGGTATTCTTGTCACATTTTATAGAAGAGGAAGTCAAAGTTTGGGGAGATTAACCAATCTAAGATTTTGAGTTTACCAAATTGCTGAAATGGAATTCAGACACCAGAGCTTAGGCTCAAGCAACTACTGGGCTGTCTCTTTTACTTAGTGTGACTTCTTCCTTTTCTTTGCTCTTTTTAATTTCTAAGTTTTTCTGCTTTGTCTTGTTAGTCTGTTGAAGGATCTAGAATGATACATTGGAAGATGTACCTCAGACACTATCTAGGTTAAACTTTCATCTTATAAAAGAGGAAGCAGTTTCAGAGAGGGGAAATGTCAAGGTTGCAAGGTCACATGTAGAGTTTGTGTGAGAGTGGGAGCAAAAATGAAAACTCCATTTCATGATTTCTGGTTCAAAATACCATACTACCCAGTGACACTGGCTCCTTAGCAAAGAGGGATAAGGTGGAAAAACAATATCTCCCATGAATTCTCATTTATAAATTAAAAAGGGGCTAAAAAGAACGAAACCCCATTCAGGGAGCACAACCAGCCATTGTTCTTGCTTTCGTGGAGGCTGACAGTGAAGACATTCAACAATAATCCCGTAAAATAAGCAGATAAACAAACGAAGATAAGTTTAGTAAAGGCATGAACAAAGACGCTAGTCTTAGACTGGGAGTGGGTAGTTCAATGGGGAAGGAGGAGGGAACATTCCAGGATGAGCAAAGGCTGTGGGGATCAAATAAGTAAAAGTAGGGCATTGGAAGCTAGAGTTCAGAGAGGCAGGGCCAGTGGAGTGGCAGGTGAGGATGATGAGGGAGGCAAGTGCTAGACAATGAAGACCCTGTGTAGAGCTCACTAAGGTCTTTACCCATTCAGCTTTGGGTAAATTTTAGGCAAATGCTCTGGGAACTCAGCAGAGGGATGGCTGTGGCTTAGAGTAGATAGAGAAATTCAAGTTGGCAGAAGCCTGTAGTGGGAAGGGACGCCTTCATGTTGAGCCACCAAATCCCCGGTTAGCTGTGATTCCTTCTCTTTGCCTTAGCTTATTTCTGCCCTAATTTATGTGCTTTTTTTGACTCTAAGTTTCCTTTCTCTCTCC